GCTCTTTTCAGTTTCAGTTTTGTTTTTGTTTTTTACTGAAGAGTTCCATAGTCTTATGTTGTGTGTCAGACTGCTTGGGTTTGGATCCTAATTCCACTGTCAACCAGCTGCTTAAGGGCTGGACAATTACCTAGGCTGATTAAGCCTTAGGGTCTTCGCCTACTGGAAGTGCGGGATAGAAGTGCCTCACTCAAGGGCTTGTTTTATGTCTTAAATGATGCTATGCACATATGATTAGTGTAGTGTTTGGCCCTGAATAAGAGCCTAGTATTAGTTACATTTCCACCTAAGGGAATATTTCTTTTTTTTTTTTTTTTTGATTTGTCCCAACCCTTAGGCTCCACATTTTCAAATATACATGAGGACTTTATTAAATTGACTAGATATGTTCCTTAATTTGTTTGTCTCTAGAACAGTGTTTTGTGCATTAAGTTCTACTTTTTAGTCAGAAGTATAGTCTGGGGGGGGGGAGGGGAAGTACCAGGGATTGAACTCAGGATCCTGTGCTTACCAGGCAAGTGTTGATTCTATTGAGCTATCTCCCTGGCCCCGGAAGTACAGTCCTATAATCCATTATATTCATAATAATAGACAGCAGATGTTTTCCTTTTAGACAGCATCTATGTGGTAGTCTAAAAGCTGGGAATGTAACTTAATGGTGGATCAGTTGCCTACTCTGTGCAAGGCCTTAGCTTCTATCTCTAGGACCATGGAAAAGGGTGGGAGTGGTCATGGGGGTTTGGAGGTGTTGCACTGGAGGCCCTCAGAAATTAGAGAAGCTTAAAAAGAATGATGTTGCACTTCCTCCTGCCCTGAGTCCAAAGAAAATGATGGAAAGAATGTACCAAAGGTGTTTGTTCTGGTCTTTTCACTGATCAGATACTGTGATGTGTTCCTGAAGACACAAGAGTTGTGGCCATGCCCACAGAGGTAGATAAGCAGAATAGTTCAACCTTGGCATGGAAAAGACCCTTTCTTGAACTTATAGAATAATCTCTTTAAAATTATATTCTTAAAAGGGTTATGAACCTTTATGGATCAGAGACTGGGAGAACTTGGTGCTAACAATTGTTTCTGCAAGGTACATTCTGAGTTTTTTGCACCCAGTGGGTTTTTGAATGGTCATCAACGCAGACTTCAAGTGAGGTATAGCATGTTACTCAGAGCTGCAGGTACATTGCCATATGTGTTTACTAGGAAGTGCAGGCTTACTTGCGTTGTATGTGTTGTACACATACATACATTTCTCCAGTTCTAGTAGGAATACCTCTAACTAGCCCCCGTAGCAGGCTGTGAGCTTTGTATGTGCTGCAGCTGCAGGTGTTCATCGCTAGATATAGGTCCAGCAGAGATCAAAAGGTCAACTATGACAGAGGAATCATGGTCAATAAGTGTTCCTTTTGCCTTTAGATGCTGCTATAACATGGGTTCCAGGCAAGTAAATAGGGCCTCATTAAAAGGCTCTTATATGAGCCAGGGATATAGCTCAGGGGCACTGCACTTGCCTGGCAAGCACAAGGTCCAAAGTTTGATTCCCCCCCCCACACACACACACCCACTGGGTTGGGCTGCTTTAAAGGCAGGTCTGGTGGCATGTAGTGCTGGGTATTGAACTACAGTCCTTTGCCCCTGACTGATTTTGCTCAAGAAGGTGCTTTAGACAACTAAGCTAACCCACCAGCCCCCAAGGTCCTAAGTTTGATTCTCAGTACCCAAAAGAACAAAACAAAACAAACAAACAAAAAACTAAGTAAAAGTCTTTTATAATCAGGCATTTAAGGAAATAATGAATTCATTCTCATCTTTGCTCTGTGTTGAGTGACATCACCATTGTCCAGTCTTTACTCTCTCTGAACGTCTTAGGTATGTGAATCAATTCTATCAAAAACACATTTGGAAGCCTAGTATACATCAAAAGGGCTAAAAATGTAAGGCTCCTGTTGAGAATTTAGAGTTCTAATTTAAATGTTCTCTACCTTATTACTCATTTGCAACAAGTACTCTAGGCTTTGATTAAATTTTTTCCCTTTGACATTTTGGCTGCTTGCTATATTACAAATGAACGGATCATTTTCTGCTTCTTCCCTACCTTCTACTAATGCAATGGTCATGGATATAAAAATGGAATAAAGAAACCAAGCAAGCAAGCAACAGAAAAAATAAAAAAGAGGAAGTATCAGAATATTTAATGGTAAAGTCGGATTCAACAAAAGCAGAGGTGGAAAAAAGAAAACTAGTTGCTCCACTTTTCGCACACATGTTTTCCTTAGACGGCTGGTTTTCTTCAATTTTTATGATTACAATTTCAGGCAGCACCCTCCGGTCCAGGACAGTTATCCCATGTGCGGATTACCCATTTCCTGCTTGCTTCCTTCCCCCGCCCACCCCTTGGCCACGCTGACATTGCTCCATGTCACAATCGATACCGCAGGTGGTCAGATCAGGTTTTCAAAAGAAAATGAAATGGAAGCCTGTCAAAGCTGCTTTGTGCTAAATTAAAATATTTGGTGAGGAGAGGTGTACATTCTTGGCCAGAAAGAGATGTCTAAGAAAAAAAAAGGTCACTATTTCGGAAATCTGCAATTTTTTTTTTCATTATTATTTCCGTTAACCAAGCAATAGCCACTGGAATCTCTGAGGAGGTTAGAGCAGGAGCATGCTAGCAATTTTGAATTTGGACATGAAGTTGAAAATATGTGCTCATTTCTGGTGTGGCTCAGCATACTACTTCTGAGGTCCTACGTGAGACTTAGTTTTAAGTCTGTCAAAGACAGAAAACTCACACTTGAGATTCAGTAATAATTAGGTCGGAGTCAACAGCAGCTCAGCAGAATTCAGTGAAGAGTTGAACTGTATAGAACAAATCGGTGTGTGTGTGTGTGGTGTGTGGTTTCTAAGTTGAAGGAAGGGGAAAAGGCAAGTATGGTGAAGGAGGCTTTGGGGTAGGATCTAAGTCTAGAGTTGTGCCTTGAAAAGTGGAGGATGGAGGTAAAATAGGATTGGATCTGAGTACCTGCATGTGTATGGACAGGGCCTCAAGTGTCAGGAAGAAGTCAGGAGGTAGGACAAAGATTCAGATGCTTCATAAAATACAGATATGCAATTGACACCTCATGAAAGAGTGGTCCATTGTTAGAAAGGAACCCCGAAACTATTCAGATATATTTGTAACACACAACAAAAAGCAGTGTCACTGAGGGCATAAATTCAGGAACAAGAACAAATGCCTCCACAGGGCATTAGAGTACTCCGTTGCTTTGTGGCATTTGATTTGAAAGATGAGCTTTGGGAGGAAAGAGGCGTCCACGAGGATGTAGTTGGAAGGAAAGGTCAATCCTAGGGGACACAGCCCCACGCAATCCGATGTTGCCTCTCTTCCTAGTTTGTTGCTTTCTGTGCCATTTATGCTCTTATCTATTCTTCTCATTTGCTGCCCACCCCTGCATGATACTTGTCCCCTGGCTCTTGGGTGTCCCGTTCTTTTTCATTGGTTGTGTTGCATTTCATATTTTCAGAGATTGAGGTCTTTTTCTGGCCTTCCCACCTAACCCAGTACACTCATACCCCTCATCATTCACCAGCAGATCAGCACTTTAATGCCTTTAAAACCCAATGAGCATGCTGAATGGGTTTGTCACCTTTCTGTGCCTCCCCTTTAGTACCAGAACCTAGTGCCTTGTTCATAGCCACATCATGCAATAGTTGCTCAATAAAGTCCGTGTTAAAGGAGTCAGAGGCAGTGGGATCTCCCTTATGCTGAAGGAAGAGAAAGCTTGGCGTTCTTTCCATTCTGTAAAGCTAAACTGTTCCTTACAAAGCAGGAGGGAAGGCGTGAGTGGCAGAGGCCTGGCGCAGCTGGGGTTGCCATGGCACTGTGGAGCAGCACATCCCTTTTCCTTTGTTTCTCTCCCTGGTACTAAGAACCTGGAAAACAGCTCCACTCGGAGCGACATTGCAAAGAGGTGACTTTAAAGAAACAATTGTGTGGGTTAGACAAATGAAAGTAAATTACATCAGGAAAAGCTGCTGGCTTGATTCCTTCTTCAGTATGTTTGCGTGTTGTAGTCAAGGTGGAACGAGATTTCTCAACATAATGAGCCAAGGGCCCATGTTGTACAGCTGAGCCTTTCTCCTGGTAGGGGCCTTTCTGGACTTCTCTCCATTCTGTCTCTCCAGTCGCACAAAGTGGGTCTACCTCCCCCTCTAAATGAGGGTGGACTACATTGTTAGTGTAACAAGGAAGTCCTGAGAACCTGTTGTTCTCTTCTCATTTTTGGGTTTTTCTCTAGCTAACTGTACCAAAGTTACTCAGATTACTTCTAGTTGTGACTCCAGGGTTCCTGGTAAGATTTTATAAAATGCCCTCTCTTTAATTACCTGGTTTAGATTTATAAAGGAAGGCTTACAAGGAATATTTAAATCTCATTAATACATGCTAGCAAAAAAAAATTATGTGTCACATATCTCTTACTTTTATGTTTTTTTTCCAAAAGATTTATGACATCAGCAAGTCACAGCTGGTGGCAGATTTCTATGGACTTGCTTTCCCAACTCCTCCTCCTGTCCTCCTTGTGTACTGTGCTGGTGATTCAGGCAGTCCTGTACTATCCAGCTGTCAAACTGCTATTGAGGAATTGCCTTAACAGGGAATTCTATCTTTTTTAAATTTTTTTTTTTTATTTTAAAGAGAATAAAGAAAGTAAGAGAAACAATGTAGAATTTCAAAACAAGATGACAGGAAATTAACAATAGTTATAGTACTGCATATTGTTATCTTCAAAGTAGCTGCTTGGAACACCAGCCATAGGTGTGCAAGATTGATTAAACAGTGTAAGCACTACCTGTTCCTCTCAATGAGCTGATGGAAATTAGTAGTATGATTCTCTTCGCTGTCTTGTGTGTGTGTGTGTGTGTGTGTGTGTGTGTGTGTGTGTATTCCTTTCTTCTTTCTCTTATCACCTCACTTTTCAGTAATGTGCAGTGTCCCTTTCCTTCTTTAGCACTGCAGTGACAACACCCATCCCTGCCAGTCAGATATGAATATTGAAGGAGCCTGGAAGAGAGGCTACACGGGAAAGAACATCGTGGTGACCATCCTGGATGATGGCATTGAGAGGACCCACCCCGACCTGATGCAAAACTATGTGAGTTTTTCCCACGATCAGACGTCTTCCCTGCCAGGCATGGTGGCATATGCCACTCGGGAGGCTGAGGCAGGAGGTGCATTGTGAGTTCACAGCTAGCCTGGGCTGTGTAGCAAGTTCAAGGCTGGCCTGGATTACAGAGCAAGGCTTATCTCAAAAGAAAAAAAAAAGGAAGAAGTCTCTGCTTACTGTATGCAGGAAGGCTCGTGTTAGGAGAGAACTACTGAAAAATGCAGCAACAGGAACAATATGCTCTGTTTTGCTCCTTTTTTATAGAAGATGAACTCTTTGAGCACAGGAAGCACGGGGTAACACTTTTCGACTTTTGGATGCCGTTGATATTCTGACCTATAAAAAAAGGCAGTAAGGGACCAGAAACTCCACCGCTGACTCCATGGGCTCCCAACAGCACCCAACCGCCAGGCATGGGAAGGAACAAGCTTAGTGCTCTGCTCAGTTATTGTCTCCCCTCCCTCCTCTCCAGCCTTCCTCTCCCTTTCCCTTTGTGTCTCTCTCCCCTCCCCCATCTTCCTCCTCCCATCCTCTCACTCTCCACTTCTTTCCTCTCCCCCTTCCCCTCCCCCACTCTTTTTTCCTCCTTTCCTCCCCGTCCAGTAGTGATCCATCAGCAACCTATTAGTCCCTAGAAATTATTCCAGTTATTTCTTTTTCTTTCTTTTTTTCTTTTTTTTTAAAGAAAGAACCATTCAGATAAATTTGTGCCTCTGCACAGGATAGAATATGAGAAGTGTAACTTTAGGGTAGTCTCCTCATTTAATAGGTGCAGACACTGAATCCTGAACTCTGAGAGAATTATGCGGGGTCTGGTAAAGACTGGAACTGTGCCTGCCTCTCCACAGCAGAGACGCCCTTGCCCTGTGCAAGGAGGGATTGCCTGTGTGCTGCTGCTCCTACCACAGATGGCCGCCTTCCATTAAATACAAATTGCTGTCACTTAATTCTGACTGTAGTCTACCTTTTTCAATTCCCTCCTCCCCTGAAAGAGAATTCTCTACATTGACCCCTACAATGAGCAGCACTGTTGCCCTCTTAAGTGTTGTTCTGTTGAAGTCTGGGTGGGGATGGGGTGTAGAAACACAAATGAGGTGAAAAAAGAACTATTTCAGTCCTCTTTTATCTCATGACAAACTTAACATGTTGAGGATCCAGTTTCCTCACAGTGACATGATTACATTACTGTAGGTTGTCTTGTTGGTTGTCGCCAAAGGCCTCCTGTTCCCACCCCTCAGAAGATTTGTCTCCAGGGCCCCTTTGGACAGGAGTCAGAGGCTTCCCTTCCTGTGTCTAGTATATTCTCCTCAATTCCTCCAAGCATACCAAAACCAAGGTACTGAAAGTTATTTGAGAAACATGAGCCTTTCATAAAGGCAGAAAACAAAGATAGTGTTGAGTTTTACTAACATTGAAACTAGGAGTAGTTATAAAACATAAGAAAAAGTAAAACATCTTAAAATAGTTATGTGCAATGGAAACAACCCTGTAAAATCTTAGTATTTTGGAAGCCTTTCATAACCATTTTCGAAAGGTTTTTGGAGATTTTGTTTCTGATTTTGAAAGGTTAGTATAAGAAAACCTTGGTCATCATGTTGGTCAGTCAAAAGCCGTTAAGCTGTTAGTAGAAGTTGGAACTACAAACTCTTACTGTGAGTGTAATCCCTGAGACCACACAAACACTTAACAGGGGCCCCAAGATACTTGATTGAACAAATATCTAGTGTTGATTTTTAATTGGCTTGTTAATTATATGTGGAAGACCCCATCTTCTAAAATCTTTAAGTTAGGATAAAAAAGTTACCTGCTCAAGAAATAAAGTAAGAAATAGGGAAAGAACCTAGAGAATAAATCACGTTCCTCAGTATTTGAGGAATATTTCATAGAAAAGGTTGTCACTGAGAAGGTCTCTGAAAAACACACATTTTGAGAACTGGTTCATTTAGCTACAAAGTAGAGATCTGCTGGCTTCTCTTTGGTGTATGTAGGAAATCCCTTCACCTTCAGGAGGAAAATGAAGTACTGGTTATTACCTCTCCAAGGCCTCCTGACACCGGCGAACTATGAGCGTATTAGTTAACCTAATTACTCTCCTGCAGAAATGTGTTTAAGAATGCAGGAGGCTGCGGGTCAGTGGCTAATTAATGACTGTCCATTTCCTTTCTCTCTGCTTCCTCCTCTGTGGTTGCAGGATGCCCTGGCGAGCTGTGACGTGAATGGGAATGACTTAGATCCAATGCCTCGTTACGACGCAAGCAATGAGAACAAGTAAGGCTCAAGTGAGGGGTGGCTGGCAGGTGGCTGGCAAGGAGCTCGCTTTTCTGCTCATGCTGAGGAAAGTATTTTCTCCAAAATCCTTGGTAACAAATGATCCTTAACTTACAGCAAGGTGAACAGATGTCTTTTCAGCCAAGTTTCTGAGAAAACAAAACAGTGGTCTACATAGTAAAAACAGGTGGCAGAGAGAGCTCTAGGGAATGGATCAGGTTTTCAGGATCTTCAGTAGGGAAGCAGGGACATCCTCCGCAGAGTAATTGACCCAGTTGTTTACAGATAAAAATGTTTAAGAGGGAAGCTAAAGTAACCCTCTGGAGAGTTTCTTTATTCTGTTACCTTGAAAGAATTTTATTGATGCTGTGTTTGAGTTCATGGCCTGGGGCTTTCTTATTTTATTTCTCTTTTATTCTCTCTATAAATGATTGGGTTTTTCACCATTTTGCCATTCATAGAAAGTATTACCTTTCTTCCTCCCTTGTCCTGTCAAGGAGCACAATTTCACTTCACAGATAGTCAAGAAATTTTTAGTGAATACAAATGAAAATGTACATTTACTTGATAACTCAGAATACTGGAATATTTCTCAGCAGTAAGTGGGATTGCATTCTGTTCCTTACAGTGACACAGATACTTCAAAAGATTCGTAGGTGTTCCTGATCACTGTGGCCTATTAGCTTTTTTCCTGTTATTGCAAATGTGATTTAGATACTTTCATATGAATTTTTA